CTTCTTTTCGATCTGGCTATAATTTCTCTCTGCCTTCGTTAATGACCTAGTGGCATGCATGATTGGTTGGACTCTCCCGTCTGCGTCCTTGTGAATGAACACTCCGCTTTAACCGTAATCAGAAGTGTCTGCCTGGACAATGGTTTCTTTGTCAGCCTCGAAGTGCGATTGAATGGTCGAGTCGTATGTCTTTGTAGTAATGGCATCAAATTCTTTTTGACATTCTGGAGACCAAACAAACTCCACGTCCTTGCACAGAAGTCGGCTGAGTGGAGGTTTTAAACTGTGCACCACAGTGATGAACGGGCCGTAGTTATTTATTAAGTCGCTATCTACGCAGCCGTAGTTCATGAAAGTCTGAACGGCACTTGTCTTTTTTGAAAAGGCAAGCGGTAAACAGCAATGAATTAATACGTGGTCACTGTCAAAGAGGTCCTTTTTTAAAGCAACAGAAAGAGGAGCAATGTCATTGGTAAAGATTAGATCTAAAATGTGATTATCTCTTGTTGGAGAGCGCACCAGTTGGGACCAATTAGAAAAATTGACAATATCTTGAAAGGGCTGGAATCTGGGTGGGCAGCTATTGGAAACCCAGTCTATTTCGGGAAGGTTAAAAGCCCTAGTGATTATTTTAATATTCAAAGCAGCTTGCAAATTTAATTTAAAGATTTCACAGAATTGTGAATCATCCCTGGCTGAAGGATTTGGGGGATTGTAGATACAGCCAATAATTGCCTTTCTTTGCGGCGAGAGAATAACAGATGCAAAGCAGAAGTTTCCCGTGAATGAGGAAACATCCAAGTAATAGGGAGAGTGGTTTAGGTAGGATTTAAGATAAAGAAGACAACCACCCCCACGCCTAGTCGTGCGGTCTTGGCGGTAAAAATCGAAGTCAGCTATGAGAAGGGCAGAGTCAGGAATTAGAGAATGGGTCCAAGATTCTGTTACACATATAATATCAGGCGTCATTTCCAGAGCAATGGCTCTGATTTGGGCCATCTTGTTTATAACTGACCTGGCATTCAATAATATAATATCTAATGTGTTTCGAACGGCAATGCTATTTTCGACGGCATTTAAAAAAAATTTGGAGGTGGATATGTAAGCTGTGAAGTAATGACACTTGGAAAATAAGTACCAGTTAATCTAGAGTTATTGACGTACGGGGAGTCAGCAAGAGAAGGCTGTGTATGAGACCTAAAGGATGTGGGGATATAGTTTTCAAACATTGGAATGCTAGGGGAGTTAGAACATGGATAGACTTGTTGGTAGTTAATAATGGAGGAAGGGGAGGAGGAGGGAGACTAGAAGGAAAGTAGAGGCTAGTGGGTGAGGGTAGGCCGCTATAAGAATGAAAGGGTGGGAAACCAGGTCTAGGTTGGAAGTCAAAGGAGATAGGTTGACGTACCTGAGAGCAATTGGCCTTAAGTAGTGGGAAGCCTGAACTAGGTTGGGGCATAAATGATTTAGGGCAATTCATGTATGAATTATTTGCTGGATATATAGTAGGGCTTTGATAAGTAACCGGTACGCAGGACAGAGAATTATTCGGGGATATAATTGGAGCTGAGGGGTTTGTAGACGTGCTGGGCTGAACAGACTTGTTAGATCTAAGAGAAGGCGTCGTACCCCTAAACGGAACTGTACTACCTATCTTTTGGGTCGGAGTCTGATTCAATTTTCGAGTCTCACCGTTCTGACGCCAAGCCACGGGTGACTTAGCTGTAGACCTTACAGCACCCAGTTGGACAATAGAAGTTATCGGTCTAGCTGATGTAGACGGATTTTCATGTGTCTCAGCGGGACTATCCGGAGGATACGAAACGACAAATGGGGCTGCTGCTGCTGCTGCTGCTGCAGCTAGTTTAGGGGCAGGCAAATGCGTCAAGTGGCTCGATTGAGATGGAGATGTAGGAGAAAGAGGAAGGAGGGAGTCAGATGTTGCAGGAGTAGGAGAAGCTGAATTCTTACGGCCACTTGTATTATGACCGAGTTGGGGAGCATTTGACTGAGAAGCAGTGGGTTTACGTGAGAATAGAGACCCCATTCTACGCTCCATAGGAGTAAGATCATGACAAGGGAAAAATTTTGCCTTCTCTAGGTACGCAGTGACACGCTCTCGATGGGTAAAGATTGTGTCAACCTCGATTGATGAAAACAATTTGACTAAGATGGGTGGATTTGTACTACGGGAGGACAAGCGTTTGGCATCGGCTATTTTATAGTTGAAACCACATGAATACAGGAAATTGGTCGCAACATCAATTGGCTGAGCAGATCGAGGAACATTCTTTAGCAGGAAGTTGTAAGAACGCTTCTGTCTATCACTAGATTCACTGGCGATCAGGTGAACAAGTGAGTCGAGACGCCTACATTCTTCAGAGGGGATATCGGAGATGTTCCCGTCGAACAAATGTCCAAGAATTGTCAGAAAAGAGCCAAACTTTAGCATAAAGTCGTTGCAGTGGTCAAGTGCAGACAGATTAAGCTGCCGACCAATTACAACGGGTGACGACTGACTAGTAATATCATCTGACTTAGATTTAGGTGAAGCTTCTGACTTACGTTTAGTTAGGCCATGTTTACTTACAAGAACCGAGAGCTTACGTCGACCAGTGACTTTTGGTCTCATCATGTCTCGAGGCAATTTGTGATTAAAAAAACTTCTGGCAGACAAGTTGACTGAATTTCAGCTAGGGGCTAACGATGTAAAAATAAATTACAACAGTTAGAGAAAAATCCGATGCACAAAATGAGAATTGCAGAGTGCGATTAGTGAACAACGGGCATAGACTAGCAGAACTCAAATGGAGATGGCAGCAGGCAGTTCTGAGAGAAGAGGCCTGTATTTAAGAAAATTCAACCAAAAAACAGGTACTAAAACCGTTAGGTCTCAAATAAAAACCACTTAAAATAATATCCTCCACTTATCTTCAAATT